CTTGAACAGCCTGCTGGGAGGGAGAGCGGGGCACAGGGAAGTAAGACTCCCATCTTCTGGAGAGCTGGCCCAACTCAGGGATCCTCTGGATGGGAAGGGTGTGAGGATCCATGAGGCCCTCCAGCATGCTTACTCTCATTCTAAGTGGAGGGTGATGGGAGACAGCCGTTTGCTCCTGGCTGAGTGTGTGGGGTGTGGGGGGCACCAGGCATGTTCTGCAGGAGACTTTAGCCTGTGTTCTGGGTATGCTCAGCTCCCTTCTCCCCAGTGTCCTCTGTTCCCTGGAGTACGTAGGTCACAGCCAGCCCTGGAACGGGCACCTGCCTTGCAGACCCTCCTCTGGGCCTGACATTCCTGGCCACCTCAGAGGCCAGGGTGTTGTGTCTCTGGGAGCTCCTATTGTAGGGGCTGAGCCCTGTAGCCCCCACTCAGATAGAGATGGCTGAGCTGTAACTGCTTCTTGTCCCTGAAGGGGACACATGCTCTCCAGCCCCCAATGGGGGTGGGGGGCTTGGAGGCAAGGAGCCCTGCTCTCTGCCTGCCACCCCCCCCCATGGTGAGTTGAAGTGTAAATGAATGGGAAACATATGGAGTGGATTTTCTTTGAAATGCAGATGGATTTGAGGGGGGGACCATGTGTGCCTGGTTTGGGGGGCATCCTGGAGAGCAAAGCGACTGAGAAGAGGGAGCTGACCCCTCCTCCGACCCACCAAGGATGGGGGAGCAAGGGAGACCTCAGCTGTGTAAACTCCAGTGGCCCTGGATGGCCACACCCACAGGGCTCCCAGCTTCCTGTGGGGAGGCACTGGGGAAGCAAGTGGTTCTTGTGGACAGAAGGCCCTGAGGTCATGGTCCCCCTGTGTCTTGTCAGAGAGCAACAGAGACCCCAGAGCAGAGAACCGTGCTGGGCTGGAGGTGCAGGATCCCGGATCCCTGGGGGACCAGGGGTGGAGGAGGATGCCTTGAGCAGATAGGCAGAAAAGTGTTACAAGGTGCCATGGGGTCTTCTAGGGTGGGCGCTGCAAGAGAGGCTGACTTCAGTATAGCCCACCTGTGGTGACTTCTGGTCAGATCACGAAACCCCCATTCTGCAGGAGCACAGGTTTCTTCCGACCCAGGGTGGCCGGGCGTAAGTCATAACTCACAGCTAGGTTGTGGAGTAGTGGCCTTGCACTCTTGAGTGTCTGGCCCAGGAGTAGGTCTTCCCTGTCACTGTTCTACTTCCTGCCCAGGCACAGAGCTGGGACACACAGTAGGAAGGCAGCCCATCAGGCTCCTGCCTTATTTCCCGGTCCCTCACTCCCTGCACAGCACCTGGCAGGGAGCGGCGGGCGGGGTGGGGTGAGGGCAGGGTGGGGTGGTGGGGCAGCTAGTGCTGAAGAATGGATTGGTTAGTGGGACAGATCCGGGGGCCCGTGGCTTGAAACCCAACTGCCCCTGTTGCACATCCCTATCTGGCTCCAAGGAACCCTGGGTGGGTTGGAGGTTAGACACCCGGAAGGACTTCTTTGTCCTTCGGAAAGGAGTACAGCAGGTAAGTGCCTTCTTCCCCGAGAAGGTCTGGTGGAGGGGGTGCCTAGGGGGGTAGTGGCCCCAGTTCTGTGGCAGAGGTAGGAGGTCACAGCTGCTTTTTGTGGAGAGGAGTGTGCCCCGAGTTTGTTGTCTAGGTCTGGGTTTGTTGGACTAGAGCTGAGAGAGCAGGCCCCTCTCCCGGCCACCAAGGGCCAGGCTCTGGGGCTGCATCACCACTGCCAGCACCGCAGACTCTCTGTATTGGTTATTAATGTCTCCCTGGGAACACAGGGTTCGGGTCCTAAAAATACCCTGTCCGGCTGGAGCCCAGGAGGTGCTGGTGTGCAGCAGTGGCTGTATACTGGTCAGATAGAGTCCTGCTGGAGTCTGCCAGAGAGAGCCAGGGGACCCACACACTCTGAGCCAGGAGAGACTGGCAGAGACTACAGTGTAGGGAAACTGAGGCAGAACGGGAACAGGAGGCAGATGTAGAGTGAGCAGCAGAGATTTGTGCAGCAAAGATTTCTAAAATGAGTGGTGCCTGCTATAGCACAACTGTGGCCCTGGAGGGTAATCTTGGTTCCCTCTGGGTCCGGAGATGCAGCTGATGTCAGGCGTGAAAGTCAAGCTGTCGGCAGGAACCATTTCAAGTCTGACTTCAGGATGCCAGTGTAGCAAAGAGAACACAAACTGGCCCAAGGGTGCTTTTCTGCACCACTGCCCCATCCCTCTTCAGAGCTCTTCCTTGAAGCTGGAGTTCCAGAGAGATTCCTGCCGACCCCCTTACACAGGCCCCACTGCACTTCTGCCCCCCCCCCCAACCCGCGTAGCCCTTTTCCCCAGAAGAAGGGAGCTGAGTGGTGGTTCTGAAGCGGCAAGAGGAGCCAGCCACTGAGGACAGATGTCATGTGACCTTGGCCTATGAGCTGACCTTTCTGAGCCCCTCCGTGAAATTGTGGGGGTCGGGGTGGGGGGCTGGGCCCCAGCCCAGGCCCTGAGAAAAGGCGGTTTTGGCACCCATCCAGGCCCCTGACGTCAATGACTCTCCAAATAATGGAATCAATATTGGGGGGGGGGGGCAAGCATGAACCAGGCCCCAGCGATTAGAAACAGATCAGCACAAGCCCGCAGCTGATTCTGATAGAGCCTGTCTTGGAGAGCTCGGGTGGGAGGCTTGACAGGAGGTGGACCTGGGGGCCTCAGGAATGGGGAGGGGGTGTGGGGCCACCAAGTGTCCAAACCTGGAGAGACTCAGCTGCCTGGGCTTGGAATGGGGGTGGGGACCTTGTGCAGGTCCCTTCGTTCTTTGAGGCCATGGGGTGCCAAGGCTTGGAGAAGCTTGTGGGTGGATACTTCTAGCCAGTGAGTGGCAAAGGGTGGGCCAGGGAGGGTTCAGTTCCCTGCACCCTAGAGTTGGGCCTCCAAGCCCTCTTGTGGGGAAGTCATAGGTGCCCAGGGTAGGGAAGAGGATGGGAACTCAATGTGATGTCCTATGCTTGGAGACAGGGCATTGACCCCAATAAGAAAGAAGGGGAGTCTCCCTTCAGATGGGGAGTCTGGGTTCCCTCATCATCCCACATCATCTCAGCCACCCAGAAGGCAGCAGGTGAAGTTGGAGGGTCCATGGGGTTCATGGGGGGCTGGCCTGGCAGCAGCTGACAAAAAACAAGAAGGGCTCGGGGAGCGGCTGTAATTACGGGGCATTTATTATTAATCAGATGAAATTGCTGGAAGCAGCTGGTGTAATGTGCGTAGCGATACAGATTCTGCATGCCCCCCCCCATGCGTGTGTGTGTGTGTGTGTGTGTGTATACACACACACACACACACACGCACACGCACATACGCATGCACGCATACACACCCTCTGCCGGAGCTTTGCTTGTTTTCACGGGTTTTTTCTTGTGAAAGTCGATGGATATGTGTGTCTGCATGCTGGAGTGAGTCTGTGTTTCTTCATGCCAGCCTGTCTCCTCGACCGCTCCTTGTCATTCTCTAGCCTGACATGCCTCTCTTTGAGCCTGTGTCTCCGTGTGTCTGTCTCTGTCAATGCCAGCCAGCCTGGCTCTCTAGTACCTTGCAGTATAGTTTCTGTCCATCTTCTCCCAGGTTGGTGGGGTCTCTGCAACTCTGGGCAGGATTGAGATGGCACAGCGCCTCCTTTCTCCTGGCTGTGCACGTAGACACCTGCTCACACCTTTGACAGCTACATTTAAGACCTGTCTGCAGGGAGGGCAGTTGGACCCTGAGGATTTTGGAGGGGAGCGGGGATGTTGAGTGATTGGAGTCTGTAGAAGCAACTTTTGATTTCAAGACTTCCTTGAGTGCAACGCCAGCTCTCCTGGCGTGACTTGGGCCAAACTGTGTTTACAATCAGGGCCTGGTTTTCCTCAGGTGGCTTTCATGACCCAGGGCAAAGCAGGTATGTCAAGAACTTACCATGGTCTCTGGCCCAGCAAGGGCTGAGAGCAAGTGCTCACCGCTGTTCTTCTTGGGGAAGGCCTCACTCAGGCCCTGAGCAAGCTGCAGAGGCCACCTGGCAGAGCAGAAAGGCTTTGGGTCTGGCCAGGGCACAAACCGAGACTCTGGCACTGACCAAGGAGCGCTAGTGGTGTCGTGGTCATGCATTGGGCTGCTGGCAGCAAGGTCAGCATTTAGAAATCACCAGCCGCTCCTCAGGAGAAGGAGCTTTCTGCTCCTATGAAGAGGTGCAGCCTCGGAAACTCAGAGGGACCATTCTACCCATGGGGTCCCATAGGGTCCCTGTGAGTTGGCATCGAATCAATGGCAGTGAGTTGATTTGGGGACTCGACCAACTCTGTGGTCTTGGACAAATCACTCAACCCCTCTGAAACTCCGTTGCTTCAACTGCAAAAGGGATAATAATAATAGAGCCTAGCTCATAGAGAGAATGTAATGAGAGAATGCATATCCCATGCCCAGAGAAACCCCAGCACAAAACCCACCGACTGCCATTGAGTCGATGCCAATTCATAGTGGCACTGTAGGGCAGCACTGCGCCTGTGAGTTTCTGAGACTAACTCTTCCCCGGAGTATTGTCCCCGTCTTTCTCCTGAGCACATAATAAGTGCTCAGTAAATCAGAGCAGTGATGGGAAAAAGGAGGGAGACAGGAGGCCATGCGTGGGTGTCCCTTCCCACCTGTGGGCCCTATGTCTATGCGGGTCCACATGCCAGAACGTGTGTTATGAGGAGACCTGTGACTAAGAACTGGTGTGTAGGAGCTTTTGGGTGATCTAAGAGTGTGTTATCTGTGTAAAGTGTTCAGTACCTGGTATGTGGCTTCCCTCGGACTCTGTGGTGCAGAGCCCCAAATCACGGGGTGTTGGAGGGTGGACAGGCTGCTCGCAGTGTTTCCAGTTTCCCCTTTTTTGCAGTGGGGGTGCGAGTGTGGCGGAGTGCTGAGTTGAACCACAGGTCCTCGGAGACCTCTGATCTGTACACTTTGCTTTTCCAGAGTCCGATCCTGGTCTCGCTTCATCCCAGCCCTTGCTTCGGAAAATCTCGGGAAGAGTTTGGCCTGGAGGAGGCAGCGGCGGTGCCCATTGATGTGCTGGGTGTGCAGCTAGTGGTGAAGAGGTAGGAGTTGGGGTCCAGGAGGGGCAGTAGGTCTAGGGGATTTGAGTGAAGAGGACTTGAGATGTCTTCCTGTGTCTCCCAGTCTTTCCTTCTGGTTGGGGCTCAGCTGACTGGGACTTTTCATGCCTCGAAGATAGTCCCAGAGAAGGGAAGAGACCCACAGTTACACAGGCAAGGCCAGAGCCAGGCCAAGAAGCCGTGTTCTGCTTGGTAGAGGGCAGAACCCTAGGCCTGTTAGTTAGGGCGTTTCTGCCCCATGCCCTCAGGCTCCTGCCCTCCCTGAAGTATCTCACTGTCTTGACTGGGGCTGGCTGGGGAGGGGGCTTGCTTAGAAGAGTTGGGTTGGGGGGGGAGGGTCAGAAAGTCCAGCGTCTTCTTGGCCAGCTGTGGGGCAGGGCTTGACTCCCCTTGCCTCGCATTCAAACCAGGCAAGGCCCCTGGATTGGCAGCCCGGGGGTGGGGGCGTCTAAGGAATCGAGGCACTGAAGCGGAACGGAAGGGCCTATTGTCCCAAACCCGCCAGAGGCCCACAAAGGCCGCCTGGGTTTTTCATCTCAGCTCCCAAACAGACTAGCCATTTTCCCAGCCTGGAGGGGTATGGGGGTGGGGTGGGGAGGGGGCGTACTGACCCTTCAGATCTAGGACTGGGGTGTTGTTGAGGGTGGGGTACCCCAGGCTGACACTTTGCCAGAAAAGAGACTTAAGATGGAGCCAGGGGCCCCAGAGGGCTATGGAGAGACAAAGCTGCTACCTCAGTGTGCCCAGAGGACCCGAAGGTGGAGGGTGGGTATCTGAGATGGAAATGCAGGTTTGGATGGCGCTAAGAAATGACTCCAAACAATAAAAGATAATAAATATTTATGGGGCACATCTGGGAGGAGTCTGATGGCTTGTGGGGAAAATGAACTACTGAGCTGTGAGGACCCTGTTTTCCCACCCTTTGATCCATTATCCTCTTCCAAAGCTGGGAACCCCTGAGGGAGGTGGGTGGGATAGGAGCTGGCTATCAGGCTAGTAGCCAGACCAGAGAATGGGCTCCCTGCAGCAGAAAAGACTAAAGCCAGACAGCAGAAAGGACTTCCTGCCAGCGAACAGTAGCTCAGATGCCCTGACCCTGTCTCAGGGAATCCCTCAGGATCGCAGAGAATAGGGGAGCTGTAGAGCACTGGGGGCTCAGGCTGAGGCAGCTTCTGTGGGGGCTGAGGAGGAGGAGGAAGCGGCAGCAGAGGCAGCGAGGCAGCAGCAGCTCAGGAGGACTTGGCAGTGCTGTCCACCCTCCCCCTGCAGCACCTTCACCACCACTTTAAAAACAGCTTTTTAATTTAACAAAGTGGATGAAAAACTGTTTTTGGAAATAAAAGAGATCTGCTGCCTCCCAGGCTAGCACTCAGCCCTAGCAGAGAACCTCTCTTAGTCTCTCAGCGGGGGGTGACTGCTTCCCCTCTCGGTCAGGGGCCTAGGGTGTTTGGGGTTTTTTGGTTTTGTTTTGTTTTATTTTTTCCTTCGTCTTCAGCCCTCCCCAGCTTTGCTCTGGCCGCCTGTTCCACCTCTCTCCTTCTCAGCCTCCAGGGCAGTCTCGCTCTCAGTCTCTTATCTCTGGGTCTCTGCAACAACCCGTTCCTCTCTTCTTGTCTCTCTCTTCCGGGGCCTGTCTCTCTCTCCCTGGCGATTCGTCTCTGTCTCCCAGCCTGTCTCAATCTCTGCCTCCCTCCTCACTCCAGCTACCCCCCCGCCCCCCCCTGCTCTAAATGGGTCTATTTAAAACGCCCGACGCTGCCAAGTCAGAAAAGCGTCTCCTGATAAAGCGCATTAGGCGGAGGGAGGGAGGAGGGAGCGGCGGGCGGATGGATTGATCCAAGCCCGTAACCCCATTAATCAGGCCGCGTGGATCCCCCCTCCCCCAGCTTCAGCCCCTTCAGAGCTAAAAGCCCCTTAAATATTTATCACCCCTCCCCCACCAGGGCAAGGGGCGGGTGTGTGGCCCTCAAAGTGTGCTGCCCGGTGGCCCCCCTCTGTGTGATGTGCACGTGTGCTTATGTGTGTGTGTAAGGGTGTGCACACCTACCAGGCCAGGAGTCAGGTGCTGGCAGACAGCTTCCACCCACCCACCCCTGGGCAGCCCCTGGGGACCCTAGGAGTTCGGCCTGATGGGAGGATTGAGCATGCAGCATGGGGAGACCCCAGGGTTATTGGGGAACCTTTGTGTCCCCCAATGTACAGAAAAGCATTAAAAGACTGGGGGTAGCCTTGCGGTGTTACTCCTAGAGGGTGGGAAGATAAGGCTGGGGATCAGGGCCCAGAGCCTCCCAAATTCTCCGTTTCCAAAGTGACTTGGGGAATAGAGGGGGCCCCATGCTCCTGAAGTGTATGAAGGTTAATTTGACTGGCTGAACACCCCCTTTATCCTCTGAGGGCAGCGATAGGACCTAGGCTGGGAAGGGACCTTCCTCCCCCACCCCATCCCCCCTTAACACACAGGAAGCTGGCCTGGCGTGGGCGGGGAGGTTCCACATCCACACCCCCCTCCGCCCCAGAAAGTAGGAAGGTGGCCCTGAGCTGGGGCTGACACCCCAAGGCAGCAAAGGTCATCTCTGAGACAGCAGGGGTTTGCCCCAGCGGACTTCAACTGTCCGGGCTGGGAGGGACGGGACTGCCCTTGGGTGTGGGGAGGGGCCCAGGCCCCAGAGCCTAGAGGGTCCCTTCCCTCCCCCTCCCCTCGCATCAAGTGCCACATCTCCTCCTGACTCAGACAATTAGATTCAAAGGATGACCTCACTGCATGCCGTCCCTCGCTCGCTCCCTCCGCTCGCGGCGCGCTCCTTCCTCCCCCCCCACCACTCCC